GATGATAGCCTTTGCTGGAGAGGCTGTGGAGGAAGGGGTACCCTCATCCATTGCTGGTGGGAATGCAATCTTGTGCAACCACTTTGGAAATCAGTGTTTCGGTTTCTCAGGAAATTCGGGATCAACCTACCCCTGGACCCAGCAATACCACTCTTGGGAATATACCCAAGAGATGCCCTATCATATGACAAAAGCATTTGTTCAACTATGTTCATAGCAGCATTATTTGTAATAGCCAGAACCTGGAAACAACCTAGATGCCCTTCAATGGAAGAATGGATGAAGAAAGTGTGGAATATATACATATTAGAGTACTACTCAGTGGTAAAAAACAATGGCATCTTGAATTTTGCATGCAAATAGATGGAAATAGAAAACACTATCCTGAGTGAGGTAACCCAGACCCCAAAAGATGAACATGGGATGTACTCACTCATAATTTCTTTCTAGCCATAAATAAGGGACATTGAGCCTATAATTTGTGATCCTAGAGAAGCTAAATAAGAAGGTGAACCCAGCCGGGCGATGGTGGCGCACGCCTTTAATCCCAGCACTCGGGAGGCAGAGGCAGGTGGATCTCTGTGAGTTCGAGACCAGCCTGGTCTACAGAGCTAGTGCCAGGACAGGCTCCAAAGCCACAAAGAAACCCTGTCTCGAAAAAACCAGAAAAGAAAAAAGAAGGTGAACCCAAAGAAAAACATATAGTTATCCTCCTGGATATTGGAAGTAGACAAGATTGCCAGGCAAAAATTGGGAACTTGGCAGTGGGGTGGGATGGGGGTAAAGGGAAATGGGGAGAGAAAAGTGAGAAGGGGAGGATGGGGGGAGCTTGGGGGAAGGGGATGGTTGGGATAAAGGAAGGGTAGATATGGGAGCAGGGAAGTATATATCTTAGGGTTGGCAAGAGACTTGACTCTAGAGGGGCTCCCAGGTGTCCAGGGAGATGTCCCCAGTTAGTTCCTTGGGCAGTTGAGGAGAGGGAACCTGAAACGAACTCAGGACCGCGAGGGGTGCACCCACCCACTGAGACAGTGGGGCTGATCTATTGGGAGCTCACCAAACCCAGCTGGTCTGGGACTGAAAAAGCATGGGATAAAACCCAACTCTCTGAACAGGGCGGACAATGAAGGCTGATGAGAAGCCAAGGAAAATGGTACTGGGTTTTGATCCTACTGCATGTACTGGCTTTGTGGGAACCTAGCCTATTTGGATGCTCACCTATTTAGATCTGGATGGAGGGGGGAGGACCATGGACTTCCCACAGAGCAGGGAACCCTGACTGCTCTTTGGACTGGAGAGAGAAAGGGAGAGGAGTGGGGGAAGGGGAAAGAAGTGGAGGGAGGAGGAGGGAAATGGGAGGCGCTGAGGAGGTGGAAATTTTTTCTATAAAAAATATATCAAAAAAATGTTCATCAAGACAGTATATGAATTGCAATATACTTAATTTTACAAATATGTATACATTAAATCTCAAATAGTTCTGAGAACACACATTTCTTTATCACCTTGTAGGCTTTGTCCAATTTGATATGCCTTTGTGACTCTCTAAGATGTTCTTATTGCATTATAAATTCACTGGAGGAACAACCAATAATCAGCAGTTGTCATACTTGTACTAAGTGTTGAGTCCAAATGTCATAGTTCAAGCTCCTAACCCAGCAGGTCTGGAGTGTCTTAAAAACTGGTTTGTTTATCTGTTTATTTGGAGACAAGTTCATGATTTGTACTTCACGCTGACATTGACAGAGGATTCACTCTGCCTTGGCCACTTGAGAAACTACATTTCAAACTGCCTAGGTGATTTTGATGCAGGCAGCTGAATGAGTGTAGATGGCATGTTTTAGCCTATGGATTAAAAATATACCTGTATAGTCAGGCAGTGATGGTGCATGCCTTTATTCCCAGAACTTGGGAGGCAGAGGCAGGTGGATCTCTTTGAGCTAGTGCTAAGACAGACTCCAAAGCTACACAGAAACCCTGTCTCAAAAACAAACAAACAAACAAAATCTGTATAAATTGGCATTTTAGTTTTGCTTCCTTTACTGAACACAATATACTGAGCTTCTCTGTGCTATGTGTCTTACTCTAGGCACTAGGGGTGATGCTATGGAACAGAGGCATCTGTGGACTCATGGTTGTGATGCGTTGTGCACTTGTTCTTTCACCAAGGCAATCATCCAAGTCATTGCTTCCTATTCAGACTGTGGGCTTTTCCTCAAGTTGTATCTGGTTTGTCTTTTCTCTGTATGCAAGGATATTGAGTGTAACAGAAGAAATAATAATGGAAGATTAAAAACAGGAAGAATGCAGGAGGAAGAGGTAGAAGGGCAATAAGAGGAAAGACAAAGAAAAAGTGAGAAGAAAGGAGGGAAGTAAGTAGATTTGGGAGCTAGACATGTAGACTAGAGAGAGTTTGGTGGTTGAGTGTAGTACAGGGCACAAGGATCAGAAAAAAGGAGTTTGAGGTGATACTTAGTTTTCTGCTAAGCTCGTAGATTATAGGGAAATTCACTTAAAAGTGGGGGACATACAGACAGAATAGGTATGTAGGAAAAAGGAAAGTGGTTCAGTCCTGCTAATTTAGACTTATCTTCTGCTTTTAGATCCTCTGGTGGGTACAGCGGTAGACCTTTGAAGACAACGATGTGAGTAGGTCTGTGTTATGAGATACTGTGGGCACGAGGAGAATAGCACAGGAATGACACTAGAGAGCAGAACCATGCTCCACAGAGAAGTTCATGGGATGGGAATTTGCTGTTTCCCTAACAAGCTGCAGTTAACCTTTTGGGCCATGGCATTTCTAAGATGCAACTTCTAGAGCATTCTGAATTTTATAGACTTATGAAAGTTGTTTCCACGTCCGTTAGGTTCTTGGTAAACACTTCTATTGATTTCAAGTATGTCAAGAATGAAAAAAGAAGAGGAACCAATGAAGACCGAGGAGCAAGCAGAAAATGGAAACCCAAGACCCCAACTCCTCTGTATTTGTTCTTCTACCTTAATTTAATGGTACACATAAACCTTTAACTGAGAAGTCTATTCCCTTTATGCATCTGATCGTAAAATTAGGAACGCAATAACACACCTAGAAATAATTTATTGACTCTTCATAGCTCCCCAAACTGTCATTTAAATTTTTCTCCATTTTGTTTTGAGTTTTCATTCTTGGATCCTCAAAACTCATGGCTTAGTTAACTGAGAAAAGAGACCATTCAAACAACAGTAAAATTATGTTGTCTTCTTCATAGGCATTTGGAAAACTAAGGCTGGAATATCTTTATGTTTTATAAAGGTTTGCTCTTTCACACACTTACCTACGGAAGTGATGACGACAGTGAAGCGAGCTTCATCTCGCCTTCCCGTCATGTTGTTGTAAGCACAGCACACGTAGTCAGCAGTCTTCTGGGCCACTTTCTCAGACGTGACTTCTAGACGAGGCCCGTGTTTAATGACATATGTTGTATTGTCAGATCTTTGGATCCAGGAGTAGGAGTTGGGGGGATAAGAATCAGCAGAACAATCAAATAGGATGGCTTCACCTAGGTCAACAGTGAACACTTCTCCCAACTTTTGCCCTTTGTCAGAATTAACTTGAAGTCCGTAAGGTCCATCTGTATTAAAGCAAAGAAGAGATGGAGGGTGTGTGTCATATGAAGAGTCATAGCACAGTTTCAGGGCTTGAGGAGTTTGTGTCTTCACATAGACTTGAGGAAAGGCAGCCTCACTTAAACCCTCAATTATATTTCTAGGTTTCATTCTGATATTCTCAAAACTGGAAAGTACTTGATTAGACATATTTGCAATAGTTAAGGCCTGAAACTTAGTCTCCAGATTTAAAGACACTGACATCATCAGTGTAGGGCTAAGCTTTTTGTGCCATATTGATAAATGCACACGGTCACTAGGCAACCTCTGTCTTTCTGAAATAGGAATTACACTTGAAAACATTTTTACAACAAATAGGTACTATTTTCTCCTTGTCAAGCATACTTTGAGAAGTGTCCATTTTTCCTCTTAATGTCAGGTCATGCAAATATTTATCAAAGACCATTTCAGAAGGAACACAGATTTGTACAAATAGGTAGGTGTTTCAGATTTTCTTAAGATTTTAACAGATTAAAAAAGTTCTTGTAGCTGGTGTTGGTGTATGCCATTGATCCTAGCACTAGGGTTTCAGAGTCAGGCAGACATCTGAGTTCAAGGCCAACATGGTCCACAGAGTGAGTTCCAGGACAGCCATGGCTACACAGGGAAACCCTGTTTTGAAAAAAAAAATTAAAAGAAATCCTTCTAAGCCTTAGATTCCATTGGAATACACACACACACACACACACATTACATACCACTCTCTCTCACACACACAGTCACACACTTACACACACCACATATACCACACACACGCACCACACATACACCATAAACACACAACATACACACAGCGCACAGACACAGCACACACACACCTTACACACAATCACACACAGACCACACACACACTCACTCTCACACAGCACACACACCCAATAACACATCGTCATTGAAAAATTAAAGAGCTACTTAACTATGGCTATTTGATTGTGTTTTCCCACACTTCTGCATCTATGAGAATCACTATGGCATTAGACCAGTTGAAGACACATGCCACAGGCCTTCTTGTAGAGAATGAGAGCAATATTAAAAATATTACCCAGATATGAGGTTTCTTCTCTAGGCTAAGTTATTTTGGGCATGGCTATACTCACTTTTCACTTGACATTAACTGACATTTACTTGACACTGGCCCCAGGAAGGAACTCCAAGTAGTTAGACATATAGATTATATTTTATCTTAAATAAGTTTCACGAGACAAATGTTATTTTCATTATTATAGTTTTAAATGTAATTTCTCACAGTCACGTAGCTATTAGACAGCCCTACTGAGACATTTAGAACAATAAGGTTTGTGTTATATAATTTTTCTATGTCAGAATATTGTTGGCTAACCATATTGCTTTATGATAAATTACCATCTCATGTAATTAGTCAAGCAACCATTTAATTGTTAAAGGTTTGAGAGATAATAAGTATAAAATGATTTGCATTTAAATATTTAGGAATGTATGTGTATATTTGTGACCATTTAACAAACAGGCCATGGATTTTGAAAGGGATCAAGGAGGTGTAGGGGAGAGATTGGAGGTAGGAAAGGAAAATGGGAAGTAATATTATTATAAAAATTATAGTTAGTATGCAAACAATTCGCATTGTTAAGGAATTTACAAACTGTATTAACTGCTCAGTATTTTCATTTTTTTAAAAGCCGCCATAACTGTCTCTATATGTGTAATCATGTGATGTAAGGACAAGATTTTAGGGTAACATTTTTTTTAACCATGAATTAAGTGTTCTTTGGAAGTTATTTATACTTTTGGGATCTCTTCATCTTTTAATATAAAAATATAGATTAGCTAACTGCCAAAATTATTATGCTTTTGAAGTTATGACAAAATTCTTGATATTACGCTCTAGCATTTGGGGCTATTGTCAAACCGATCTTAGTTAAGTTTGTGGATCTTCATTGAGCCATAACTTTCTGATCCATCTGCCTTCATGAAGACAAGTTTCATAAGATATAACAGAAGCTGGAAATAGTGTTTTATAGAGTATATTTAGTTATATAGCCTGTTTTCCTTCTGAAGACATAGGACAATGTGAAGTGTCCCACAGCACTATATTACTATGGTTATAGCAGTAAACCTACTGTCAGGAGGAAGGCAGAAGCTAGCTTAGTCAGTCCTTGCTATCCTGAGGAATTGGTTACAGGATCCACTCTGGGTACCAAACTGGTAGATGCTCAATTGCCCTATAGAAGCTGGAGTGCTAACTGTATGTTATTTACATATATCCCCTTGTAAAATTTAAACATGCTTAAATATGGTTAGATTACTTATAACACTGGATACGAGGTAAATGTTCTGCAAATAGTTGTATATTAGAAATGAAAAGTTGTTTTAATGATTCAGAAAAAAAATCAACATCAAGGTTACTTATGCACGATGCTGTTCTAGGCATCAGGGAGGAACTGGGACACTGAAGATAGCGCCCAAGACTGAGTCTTCTGCTCTGTGCTGTGACGGAGGCTCTTTCTTTAGGTTGCCAGCACTGATGAGAGATATAAGACAGTGCAGTCAGGGGCCACTAACTGCTTCCCCTGGAGGAGAGGCAACGGAACAAATGGGGTGTGGTTTGCAAGTTCAAGAGACCTCTGTTCATGTGCACAATATAAAATCTGAGAGTTGTTCTAGACAGAGCAATAGAGATGTGAAAAGGAACACAGGAGTGACCATAAAAACAGGTTTCGATTCCTATCTTCCCACTGGCTTCCACTTCCAGGGTTTACAGAACATGCCTGTGATGACATGTTGCTGTGTAATTGATCTCACATGGGAACAACTGTGGTGCCTTTCAAAGCGGACCATGCTCTTCCCAGCTCCAGGAGGAACTCCCCTGGAATTGCCTCAAGATCTTGCGATATATTTGAGTATTCCCACAGATAGCATTTCTCTAATCTTGGATGGTGGGTTTGACTCTATGGAAGAAGTACATATTTAGATTCATGGTTGCTGAGTACTACCAATAATTTTAAAATAACTTGTAAATAAAACATCCTTTGAAAGAAGAGAACTTGATAATGCAGATTTCTTCTTTGCTCACATGTCTGTTGATTTTGCTACTTCCTTATTTGTTGGGTTTCATGGTTGATACCACCTTTCTCTCTTTCATACACCAATCTGACTCTCTCTGTAATATGCCACATCTATCTCCCCAAAGTTAGTTTCATGTCTCTCAATCCTCTATGAAACCCTCCCTGTCAAGCATTTCTTCCAGTTCCCAGAAACTAATACTTTGAGGCATTTAAATTCATTACTTTTGACACAATTTTATAAAATTTATATTTTATCTGATTATAAAAAGGAAATGCATGTTCATTGTAAAAAATTATAAAATAAAGAAACACACCAATGAAAAGTTATCATTTTAAAAATATTTTTCTTATTTTACGACCTTTGGTGCTCTGCCTGCATTTTCAGTCTGTATGAACTTGTCAAATCACTTGGAACTGGACTACAGACAGTTGTGTGGGTGCTGGGAATTGAACTCAGGTCCTCTGGAAGAGCAGCCAGGGTTCTTAACTGCTGAGTCACCTCTGCAGCTCTGAAAATTTATCATTTATTTTCCTAGAACCCCAACATCTGTATATCTGTATAATCATCTCTTTCTCTATTTACAGCTCCCTCTTTCCCATTATTCTCTTCCACCTCTTCTTTTTTCCTACTTCTGTTCCTCCCTCACCCCTTTCTCTGTTCCTGTATTTGGTCTGTGTCTGTCTTTTCTGTGTGTTTCTCCCTCTCACACACATAAGCACACACAGGCACACACCTTCATCTTACGGTCTACACACTGTTTACATTCTCTTCTCCCCTGACTGGACTATGGCACTATTTTCTTTACAGTGCTCAGCACTTCAGAGTGAAGATTCTTCTATTTTGAGCTATAATATAGCGCCTTGGTCAAGTCAATGGGCAGCCCTGTAGGAGACATTTGCAATGACTCAACTAGCGTGACTTCTGATTCAGATAAAAACAGATGCATAATTCCATTTGCCTTTGGATTATAGTTCACCGTCTTGCCTGTGGCAGAACACCCTCAATGGAAATGAACTCTTTGCCTTAGGGATGGCTGTTTACTAAATGACTTGTAAAATCACTTGTCATATGTTCTCTTTAACCATTTATGACTGGGTGGGAATGGGACCTAAGTTTCCATCATGATGCTTCTTGCCACCCTGCAAGGGAGCAGATGGTAAGTATTTACTGCAAATGTTCCCTCTTCCCTTTAATTTTTATCACTTAGAGTACTCCCTGCAGCAGTGTCATGTGTTCCACAGAAATTGAAGTGGTTATTGAGTTATTATTTACAGTTGGAGCCAGAGGGCATTTACATTTTGTAAACCATAAATAGCTATTTGATGACTTTTTACTCGGCATGGTATTTCATTAAGGTTAGCACCAGATTATGACATCATGGCCCAATGAACATATAGTCAATCTTGATAGATTTTGTTATAACTTTATTAGCAATAAAAATAATTCCTGCTCTACATGAAAAAAAATGTCAGGGAAACAATAAAAACAGAATAGATAATTCATGAAGATATTCTAAATTATAATGTGGATATCTATGGAAGAATATTAGAATATGATGGCCTCTCGATTATTATCTTTGTCTGATCAATCACAGAGTCATGGAGTAAAAGTGGGATGGGAAGAATGATATGAACAAAATATTCAGGTTAAAACTGAGTTTCTAACGGCGTCAAGTATTGCCCTATAAAATTAAAGATGCTTAGCAATATGGAGCTCCTATGAGAGTTTGTTGTACTGATACTTACGAGGAGAGAGCGTCAAGGAAGACAGAGGGTAGTGGGGAGCAGAGACAAACATGTACAGGGTACTGTCTTTGCTCAGAGACTTGAGTGTCTTTGTGACACTGAGGAGATGAAAACAGGCAGGACAGATGGGCCTTTCAATAGGAGATAATGAAGGAAGAGGAGTAACTACATACAAACGGAGCATTGGGGAATGCATCACACTAGGCAAATATTCCCAGTGTATAGGGAATGAGAAAACTCCAGACACCTTGATGCCACATCAATAGAAGATCAGTGACAAACTCTTATGTAGGCTATTTAAACCTTGTCACTTGAAACCAAGGAAACAAAGCAAAACAAAAACAAGTAATAAAACAGGGCTGAAGTTGCGATAGCAAAAGAAACTAATAATGCAATTAGATTGTGCATCTAGGTCATATAGTAGATTATTGCTGAGCCAAGAAAATCCTGATGACATGACTTGCCTTTGATTCAATTTGTTCATATTTTCTTTTTCCTGTGTTTACATATCTTACATATTTAGGTTTGTGCTACTTGTGTTTGAACTGAAGTTTTAATTTTTGAAAATAACCTGCTTAGTAAAGAAATACATCTATAAATGCGTTGCACTGTTTCCAAATCTTCCCTACAGTTCCAGCACACTTGCGCAGCATGCTGAAACTTAGACTTTCTTTGTCTATCTGTTGCCTCTGCTTTAAAGGCAGACAGAATATTCTCACAAGGCTATCTGAAAAGACTTTTTAAAACCTTTAAAAAATATAGTTATAAATTAAGCTATAAAAATAATTGCCACTGGGCAGTGGTGGCGCACTTTAATCCTAGCACTCGGGGGGGGGGGGGGGAGGCAGACAGATCTCTGTGAGTTCCAGGCCAGCCTGGTCTACAAGAGCTAGTTCCAGGATAGGTTCCAGAGCTACAGTGAAACCCTGTCTCAGAAAAAAAAAAAAAAAAGGAAAAAAATTTGTCATAGTTAAACACAAATCAGGTATTGTGGTTCATGCCTACAGTCTCAGTACACAGGAGGATGACCCTAAACTCGAGCCTGGGCTATATATTGAGTACCAGGCTAGCCTGGGATGTGGAAGGGGACACTGGCTCTAAAACAGATGAGCAAACAAATAAAACAAGCTACGATTTGTCTCAGTCCTTGAAAAATACATTTACTTCCTCTTTGGGTCTGGTCTCTTGTTGCTGTCTGTGCAGGAGATGGTTTTCCAGACCTTTCCACTTGCTCAACCATGCTCATTGTAACACGTTCACTCTGTCACTTTACAAAAGGGGGCTTTTCTTCAGGAACAGGCAATATTTCTCGCCTTTGTATTCACGTGGAATAATAACTTTATAATGAAATGCTGGCGAACTATTCTACAGCGCTACTGCGCTGACTAGGGGCCAGTCAAGTGTTCTCTCTCTTCTCATCCAGTGACAGTTCAGTCACACGATTGCTCCATGAGGTAGGTTCCCGAGGTCAGCGCTGATGATGAAGAGAATGCTGCACAGAGACATGAGCTTGCCAACCCAGGATTTGAACTCTGGCCCATGACTCCGCAGTTCTTACTCTTGCCTGCTTTGCTTCTTGTGACTCCTATCCAAAACAGCCACGACATTTGACTCCATACATTTTACATAGTTTCCCCTACTAAAAACATAGGATTCATGTCCAATTTTAAGATCCAGTAATTCCGTTTCCTGTAGTTGAATTTTGCGGGTTTTCAAGCAAAGACACTGTGCACATATGTGTCACTCCTTTGTTCTTCTCCTGGCCCCAGCAGCTCTCTTCTGTGCCCTCAGTGCTGCTATTCAGTTTTAATTTAAGCATCATTTGGTTGCAGAAGACCATACTTTATTCACATGCTAGTGCTTTTCTCTAAAGTTTTTATTTTTTATTTTTGATGCATGTCCTCAAGAGGGCTCTGCCGGTACTCTAGTGGTGAAAGTATGCACATTTATGAAGTAGATGCACATATATGAAGCAGATGAAGACAAATGCATCCACAATAGCACCATATTCTCTTTAGTGAGAGCTTGTTTATATGCTTCTTTTTCTATTTTTTGGACAATATCTCATTTAATCTCAGTAATACTGAGAGGTAATTTCAAATATCTCGTTTTTATAAATGAGGCCCAGAAAGACCAGGGGACTTACTGAGACCACATAGGCCATTATCAACCCCATTTATCACTCCTGTTGTCTGACCTGTGAGCACTAGGTGCAAGGTTTACTGTCTCTTCCACTATTATGAAGACATATTTAATGAGTGAATAGATTTGTGTTCCAGGCTCAGTTGTGTTAGAAGGTGAAAACTTCCTCCTCATGCCAGACATAACAAGTTTTCCATTGCCACATCTCACTTTTCTTGGCTACATAGTTGCTCTTGCAATCTTACAGTAAGGGCTTCCCAAAGAGGTAGCTGTTGGCTTTCAGCTGAAGATATGCTGCCCCATCTCCAGAGGTCATACGGTGATGTACAAAGATAGGTTTTTGTTACTGCTGGCATGCACTGGTGGAGGACAGTGAGGCTTCTGAGTACCCTAAATTGTCCACAACAGTCCCATAGCAGAGTTTTCCAATCTCCCAATGTCACTGTTCTAAACAGTGAACAAGTTCCATTTTACATTAAACTTTGCATGCAATATTAAGCATATTAAAGGGTAGGTGTGATGATTCGGTGGGTAAAGCAGGTTTCTTTCAAACCTGACAGTTTGATTTTTTCTCCCCTAGGGAAGAGAGAACTGACTCTCGAAAGTTGTCCTCTGACTTCGACAGACACGCTGTGGTATATATGCATACCTCAACACACACACACACACACACACTCCAAATAATAAATAAATGAGATTTAATCATATTAGAGGTAGTACTATGACTCTAATGACTAGAAAAATACTAGAATAAAAATGAAGGGCCTTGTTTGGGGCTGTGATTGTAGCATGATACAAACTGAAGAGTTTGAAACATTTTACTTGTACGTGAGATTCCATCTCAACAATGAAAACAACAACTGAAGGGAATTAGAATTCAGAAGTAATTACTGATCTTCTTGGGAAAACACTTGAGATTGTTCTGCATAGAATCCTTCCAGAACCCTCCTTTCAGAAATGGGAGAATCACTTTTCAGCCTTCGGTTAAGATCAAATGTAGAAATGGTGGAGAGAAAACAGGCACAGGGAACACCTGTCCTTCAAAGTACTCTCCCACACATAACCTTTCTCCTTTCTCATGCAGTCTACAGAACATATCCCATTCCTGGATCTCCATCATCTCCTCTCCTTCTCGGAGAGGAATGAATCAGCCCCTCTTTGTGGTACTGGATTCTTGGGATTGAAAATGTACTCACTCATTAATGGACTCTAGCCATAAACCAAGGTCATTAAGCAGATAGTTCACAAGCCCAGAGAAGTCAAATAACAAAGTAAACCCAAAGAAAACATATATAGATCCTCCTGGAAATTGGAAGCAAACAAGATTGCTGGGCAAAAGTTGGAAGCATCAGGGTGGGGATAGGGGTGGGAGTGGAGTTGGGGGAAGGGGAGATGGGGAGAGAGAAGGGAGAAAGGAAAGACTGGAGAGAGCTTGGGGGAGTGGGAGGGTGGAGATGGAGGAAGGGCAGATATAGGAGCAGGGAAGAAGATATCTACATTAAGGGAGCCATTTTAGGGTTGGCAAGAGACTTGGCTCTAGAGGTGATCCCAGGTGTCCACGGGGATGTCCCCAGCTAGGTCCTTGGGGAGCGGAGCAGAGGGTGCCTGAACTGTCCTTTCCCCACGATCACACTGATGATTATCTTGAATATCACCATACAATCTTTGTCCGACGACGGATGGAGACAGAGACAGAGAACCTCATCAGAGTAACGGACTGAGCTCCCAAGGTCCAGTTGAAAGGCAGGAGGGAGAAGATGAGCAAGGAAGTCAGGACCGCGAGGGGTTGGTCCACTCATTGAGACAGTGTGCCTGTTCTAATGGGAGCTCGCCAAATCCAGCTGGACCGGGACTGAATGAGCATGAAATGAAACCAGACTCTCTGAATGTGGCTGACAATGGGGGCTGACTGAGAAGCCATTGATAAAGGCACTGGGCTTGTTTCTACTGCATACTGGATTTTTGGGACCCTATTTGGATGCAAAGCTTCCTAGGCCTGGATGTAGTGGGGAGGGTCTTGGACCTCCCACAGGGCAGGGTACCCTGCTCTCTCTTAAAGAGGGAGGGGGAGGGAGGAGTGTGGATGGGGGAGTGGGAGGGGAATGGGAGAAGGGGAGTAAGTGTAAAATTTTTAATGGAAAAAAATAAATAATTAAAAATACAAAAAGAATTCCACTACACATGAAATCACTTATTGCTTAGAATCACAAATTTCACTTTGAATGCCCTGCGATTAATGTTTCAACTTGGTCTTCAAAAGGGAAAGTTGTGCCAGTAGATATATTTCTGGACCAGACAATGCCTAGACCACAAGACTATGACAAGTACTGAGCTACAATACTGATAAAGACCAAATGACTCCTGGGGCTGTTATTATCTATATCTACCCCTGTGAGACCTTCCCGTAAATACAGACATAAGACAAAGGCAAAACTTACAATATATGGTAGGCGTAATGATGTCACTTTCCATCTCACTGACAGGGTTTGACACAAGGCAGCTATAGTTTCCAATGTCCTCCTTTGTCACTGGAACGATCCAAAGGGTGTTGTTTTGGGGAGAAAATGAGTGGCTGGAGTTGATGCAAACAGGTTTCCCATTTTTTCGCCACTGGTAAACTAGCCTGGTACCCCCTTTCACCTGGCAGGTCAAGGTAATGTTGCCCACATACTCCACAGCCCCAGAATCAGGATGTGACTGGACCACTGGCTTCATGACGGGATCTGCAAGATCAAGAGGCATAGAAAGGATTCTTTTCCATCTGTGGGGCGGCAGCAAAACTCTAAGAAGCCTTTCCAATAGAGAGTCCTGGGAAAATTATTCCAATATTTCATATTTTGTAAATGTAGACAGCTTGGGTAACAGAGGATATTAAAAAGTCATAGAAGTTTAAAAATGGGTAAAACATGAAATGTATTTACACAGGTACAGCTAATAAAATTCTGGAACCTGAATTCAAGTATTGACAATGAATCTATTACTTGATATTTCATTAGTGGCTGGAAGCCCAGGGTTCCACTTTTCTCTTCATCAGGATTTCTCCACCATCACGCTTCGCCCCTCTTTCTCTCTGAACTTAAGAGTTCACGCGAGTCAGGCAAATGCTTGTCTGCCATGAAGGTAACTCTTACAGGCAAAGCAAATGTAGACAGTTATTCCCTTTTTGACTTATAGTGTACCCAAAGCACCTGGCAAGAAGGGATGTGGCAGCCTCAAATTTCTAGCCATCATCTGAAGAGTAAATTATACAGCTCATGTGAAGGCACATTTGAAAGCGTGTTGGGGCGTTATTCAAGAGTGGCATGTACACAATATCATGAACAAATTAAAGTCTACATTTCAGTCAACACTGGATTAACTTGACAGTTGGATATGATATATTATTGGGATTTTATTAAAGTTGGAATCTTCAAAGCAAATCCAATAGACGTTCCTGTTAGAAGGTGAAGTAATGAGACACTAGCTTTATTTTATAAATGTGGCACTCAGTAGGCAAATGGATCAACACGGAAAACAAGAAGACCACATTTCTTCCCTGGCTTTTAGCTCTAAGTACACAGATAAGGTTGGTAATTACATATGCATCCGCTATCATTTTAACAAACATCACCAATCTTCAAAATTCTTTCCTCTGTTTGATAAAATAGCGACTTGGAAGCCAGCAAGATGGGTCAGTGATAAAGGCAATTGCTGTCAAGCCTGAATTTGATCTCCAGATCCTGCATGGTGGAAGGAGCAAAACTACTCTAGTAAGTTACTTCTGATCTGCACATGTGCTCTGAGGCGTGTTCTGGAACACACTCACACACATGTAAGTAAACAGAAAGCAGACATAAGGAAATAGTTACTGATCTGCACATGTGCTCTGAGGCGTGTTCTGGAACACACTCACACACATGTAAGTAAACAGAAAACAGACATAAGGAAATAGTTACTTGTTCAGAGTTAAATGTCCTACACTGGCAAAGGGAAGAGGCCTTTACACGTGTCAATGTATTTTTCCTGCACTTTGGAGAGACAGACTTTGATAGTCTTCATCTCTGTAAGATCACAGAGTACACAGAGGCCAAGGTTGTAACACATAGGCAGCCTGTGACTGGATCCAGCACTTTAAGCTTTGATTTTTCATCAAGCATTCAGTCGAGTTTGAAGCTTCTTCCTTAGGTAAATATAAATATATCATGTATTATCCTACAAAGGAAATTGCATCAGGGTGCAAACAGACCTCATTTTCCAGCCCAGAGGAAAAGGAAACAAATGAAAGATTAGGAAAAGTGAGGTTGAAGTGACTTGGAGGGGAGCTGAACAACTTGAGGACATCTGGCATTTGTTCATTTAATTCAACCCTTTGTCTTCTGTGGCAAAAGCAAAGGGTTTGCAACAGCAACTTGTATATGTTATTATGTTTTTTTTTTAAAAAAATGAATTGTGTACACTGGTCAAGTTAAACACATCCCATTTGTGTCTGTGTGGGGATGCATGTGGTACGTGATAGCTAGGCATCATAGTAACCGAGGAAAGCCAATCACTGGACTAGTCATCCGTATCAAACACAAAGCTGACATTCCCCTGTTGAAAAAGTTTTTGCTTAGGTTCTTAAAGCCTGTTTACTAAAGGTTTTGGTTTCATTTCCCTGAGTAAATCCAACGTTACAATCCAGGTAAGGGCTGTCCTATTAAAACTTGTATGAAAAACTGTTGAGGGAAAAAATTATGAAAATTCTGGCTAGGTAATTCGCCCCTTTCCCTACAGTTGCTCTGCAGACACCTGGTCTGGCAGTCATTGTTTTAGTCCCCTGTAGCCTCTTTTGTCTCCCCCCTCCCTCCTTGCTCCCTAAGGGTTACTGAGTTTACTATGGCCAGCACAGCTCTGAGCACTGAGAAGAAAGCAGCAAGTATACAGACAATGCTCATCTTCCCACAGACCTCATGTTCAAGTCAGGAAGAGAAACACTAAAAGTTAAATACAGGTACTATTTACAGGTGATGGTAAGTTCGATGGAAGTTTGATGAACAAAGAGAAAAGCAGAATTAAAGTCAGTGAAACAGCGTGTGTGTGTGTGTGTTTGGGACTAAGATGATATTGTTATATAGAGTGGAGAGATGTCAGAAAAGGCTTCACAGATACAACAATTGAGATGCCTAAAAGAAATAAAGAAAGTGATATTTGGGATAGAAACTGTCTGGATATAGTGAAGAGTGAGAACAGAGGACCTGAGAGGTGAGTGTATCCGTCCTGTTCAAGGTAAAGCAAGAGACCATTGTGGCCAGAACAGAGGGTATAGAGCACAGAGGTAGAGAATGGAGTCAGATTGGTTCTAGGTATGCTGGGATCTGAACATTATTGTTAGTACTTTGACACCCATTTGAGTGCACTAGGAAGCTGTGACAAGTGTTTGCCATTACAGGGGGAAGCAAGAGCAGAAGCACAGATGGTAGGGAGCAAGCTATTACAAATCTCAGGTCAGGACAGTTAGAGGCAGGAGCAAAGCAGTGCTGGAAGCACCTGGAGTGATTTTTAGGGTTCCTGCAGACAGGGTGTATGTAATGAAAGATGGGATTGTCTGAGATGCATGCAAAGCCTTGGCCTGAGGAAGCAATAGAATCAATTTAATTTTTAGTAAAATGAGATACTAGTGTCAAATAAAGAGGACAAAGAAAATGAAGTTGAATTTTGTGCATAGTATGTTCAAGGTATGCCACTTACAAATTTTCATAAGAAAAAATAAATGTCTAAAGGTTAGTTAACTCAAGTCTCCTTTGGGGCGCATTTCCACAAACTTCTATTGTCCTGACATAGAGTCCTTGGCTCATCTTCCCTTAAATGTTGTACCAAATAAAAATATTCAAGTGATCAAAAGTAAGAACCTTCACAAAATACAGCCTACAAATGAGAAAATAAGATGTCCATACCTCATTCTTGAGGCAACTTTATTTAAATCCTAAGAAAACAGTATATTTCTCTTATTTCTTAAAGGTCTGTTGCTGGGCACTGGGCACCTCCTCTCCATACAGATATCATTAAATCTCAGGAAACCTTATAGATAGGTAATGGTATTAAGGAAACTTTGAACATTAATTAATTCACTTGGAGTTGGGAGAGCCAGGACCTTAGAGCCTAGGAACCTTTGTAATCTGAGCCTCCTCTGCCTTGACCTAGCCTCTTCTCCACTGTCACAGAGGACTCACCATCAACGGTGACTTGTATCTTCTGGCTTGAGGAGAGAGTTCCATTTCCCTGGATGTTGACCTTCACAATGTAATTGCCCTCATCAGTGAACTGCAGCGGATTGATGAGGAGAGAAGCATTGGGTGGCATCATGGTGAACTTGTGTTGGTATTCCAAGTCGGGAACAACAGATTCGTTCACAGAGCCCAGCAAGTATTTGGGCATTGTGTGTGGTCGCTCAAACAGCCAAATGATCTGGATGCCAGACGCTGGAGTGTGGAAGCCATAGTGCACAGGGAGGTAGAGGGCCTGTCCCCTGATGCCATGGACAGTGTGTGAAGGCACGGTCACCTTCAGCCCCGAACAAACACCTGCTACAAAGAGAAAGAAAACTGCAAGTACCCTGAGCCACATCTCATAATAAAAAGGTACAGTTACAGTGGGTACTCAGTCAGATGATAATCCCTTTCAAAGAAGAAGGCTTCTAAGTATTGACTATTCCAGTACCAGTTACAGGTAGATGTAAATATTTGTCTCTCAAACCTTCTGCATTTGAAAGACTACACCCAGTGAGAATACCAGCTGCATGACTTCTCTAAGACAAGGCAAAAAGGAGAAGCAGAAGCTATTATCTCCTGTAATTACAGAGTAATAAAGAAAGAAGAACTGAGAAAGATTATGAGCTCTAAAGTTCAACAAAGCTATTAAAACATATTTGAAATTAGACAATGTCAATTTCATATTTTGATGAAACGATGAAATATGAAGGGATACTTCCCTGCGACAAATTTCTGCAAAGTCTTCTGAAGTAGCTCAATATTCGATGTTTGGAAGTCCCTCCTCGCTTTAGTCAAAGTCACACCAAATCTGAGTAATCTAGTAACTGTCACAATAAACTACATTCAGTTAAAAACAGTCGTTCCTTGTCCGCAGAGGACTCTGACTGCTGTGTAAGGAGCAAGGGGCAGACTTGGATGTAACAGAGTGGAGAAGGAGGAGCTCATCGAGATATGAGGGCAATGATAGCAGGGACGAATGGGGAAGGATGCTAAGACCATGGGACTTGTGGGCAATTTTACTCTATGCAAAATGAAAACGTAACTGGAGTTTTGATATCAGAGGAGGGACGTGACTTTTCCAATGATTTATTTGTCTCCCGCCAGCTGGGATGAGAATGGGCTGAGCAAAGAGAAAAGCAGGAACACCAAGGTATCTCGGGAAATGACTGCATCAAAGCAGGCAAGAGATGGGGCTTTACCGAGCCATGGTGTACTAGGCATCATGAGAAACGACTGGTTCTACCAAAGAACAGCAACAATAACAAAACAAAACACACCACACAGCTACCGCACTGCAGAGAACTTCTGGCTTTGGCACCGCGGTGGGAAAATCAGAAGTCCGTATAGGGCACATGCACGTTTAGATGCTCACTAGACATCCAAAAGGCAATGCTGAATGGACGTGGTGATCACGTTTTCATTATTAACTCATTAATGGTAGTTTAGGACAGAATTAGAGGCCTGAACTGATGTGAGGCATGAAGCTCTTCCCATGTACAGTCTTATGCAGTGTTTGTGTTGTTTGGGTCCATAAACTCACTGCTATGGCTAATCTTAGGTTTGTATATGCCTCTTAGCTTCTGGAACTTGGATCTCTCTCTCTCTCTCTCAATATATTTATATACATATACACATATTTACCATTTGTAATAAAAAAGTCCTTTTAGGATACCATACTTTTAGAACTCTAATTAAAATCTCTTTGCTTCATTTTACAAGTTTGTGGCATGGGTATGAAATCACTATCAGAGGAACATTTAGAGTGATAGGGTGGTTACATGTGTAACTTAAATGTAGACTCTCTTGAACACGGAGAGATAGAAAACAATGGCAGAGGGTCAGTGAGGCAGACTAGAGAGTAAAGGTGCCTGCCACCAAGCCTAATAGCCTGAGTTCAGTCCCCAGGACTACTCAGATGGTAGAAAAGAGAACTAACTCCCTGTGGCATGCTGTCCTCTGCGCCACGCTCACGCTGTAGCGCTCTCTCTCTCTCTCTCTCTCTCTCTCTCTCTCTCTCTCTCTCTCTCTCCCTCCCCCCCCCCCTCCCTCTCTCTCTCTCTCTCTCTCTCTCTCTCTCTCTCTCTCTCTCTCTCTCTCTCTCTCTCTCTCTCTCTCTCTCACACACACACACACAGAAGTAATGGTGTAGATACAGTAATTATAGATTCTTTAAGTAACCTTGTAAAGGGGACAAGAGAAGTGGGTGGAAGGCTGGGCGGGAATGTAGAATGTAAAATCACATCTGCAGGCACTGGGTATAAATCTGTGAGATATGGACGTGGGGAAATAGAAGAGCGAGAGATGCTGGTGGATTGAAACTGAGTAGGTGAGAGAAGATGGGAACTGGAGACAAACAAAAGGGTTTTTTTTCACTTCCGTTTTCTAAGACACATAAAATGATTATCCTCTTCAATTGCTTCCCATTTTCACTGTTTCCAGGAAGTCTCATCTAAATCAACTTATGGAAGGCAACTGGGACAAAGAAGGGAAGGGTCTGTTGCTGCTCCAACCCCATGAGAAATCAAGTTCTAAAGCACTAAGTGGTCTCGCCGTTCCCCAGAGCGGAGAGCTATATGTTCAGTGTGGTCAGACTCCTGGGCCTCTACACATGCCTGAGATAAACACACACCACACGTTTGCTTCAGGTCACCTATGTCAAAGGTATTACAAGGTGTATGATTTGTTTCTGTATGGAGAAGTACAAGAATGTTAAATTTGGAGATTAAAAAGAGAGAATTAGATGCTGAAATATCTAAATCATAGAGTTGCTTGAAGCAAAGGAGTAGTGGAAATTTTGCAAGGAAATTGTAGTAGGAAAAAAGGAATATGGATGAATAAACCAATGTCTTAAAACTAGTGACGTCAACGTTATGTAAAGCCGAGGCTGAGCGGAGAGCTCTAACAGCCAAGCGTTTCTAAAGACACTGGCCTTTGGAATGGGAGCTGGAAAGGAGCAGGTCCCTCCTTGGATGTGCGTTTTCTGGGCAAATGAGAACACACTCCTGTGCCCTCAGTTGAAATCAGGGAGACAGGGTTTTTGATAAGTAATAAATAAAAACTAGTCTTTAGCTCATTATTTCTATTTTTAGATATGCAAAACATAACTTTCACTGTGTCTGCTGTGCTGCTATGTTCATAAAAAAAAACCTGACTATATGAAAATATCTGCTAGCCATGTGTCAGGGTTCATGTCTAATCTTAGACTCCCTTGTAACTATATTTACCAGCAATGCTTAGATTCACATCACCCCGAAGTAAAGATGGCCAGGATCATACGCACTTCCTAAATTTGCAGAGGGGATACTTTATTTGACATTTTGATAAAGTTGGAAACGTGACGTTGTAGCAAAGGTCACATATTTATCTTAAAACAGTGTTTAGCCAGCATCCGGAGGTATTTCCTCAGAGTAGCCACTATGTACATTTCAAGACGAAAGGTTCAAAGGATTTGAAATAGTGAGTTGCAGAGTTTAGTCGACAAATTAAGTTGTCAATTCCTGGATGTTCTCTAACAAGTTGACAAACCCGTGTGTGTTCCAAGCGATCAAGGGGCTATGGTAGGAATCACATCACTGCCTTGTGAATGCACTGGGAAGACCTGCATGGCTGCTGACATAAAGTGCAGCGATTGCCTCTGGCACAGACTTACTGTGCATCTAAGACGTTTCCCAGTGTAGCCCAGGCGTCCCTGCTAGACTGAGGTGGGGCTGTCAGGCTTGAGTGCAACTTTAGCTGATCCATTTTCTCACTTGGGAGAGGTTCTTGCTCTTATGTTTTTCTGTAATTTAATCTATGCAATTGTAGCTGGGAAAAATTAGTTGAGATTACATTAATATGCTGGGGGTGGTTGCTAGGCTGGGGACACGGTCCCTAGAATGGAAATGTTACTGACTTTTGATCTGGATTTGAAAGTTGACTCTCAGTTATGAGACTCCGAATAAGTTAGGAGGAGAGAGTTTTATTTCATAAGACATTAACTATAATGCAGACGCTGTAGTCAGGAAACAAATAAAGCTACCTCAGTAGATCTGCAATTGGGACACATGACTTTAATCCCAGCACTTGGAGGAAGAGATAGGTGGATCTCTGGGAGGTGGAGTGCAGTCTGAGCCTCATAATAAGTTTAAACACAGCCAGGGCTACATAGTGAGACCCTGTCTAAAAACAACCCTCAGCCTCCCCCAAACCAACCAACCAACCAACCAACCAACCAACCAACAGACAACTAACCACCTTGCTATCTAAGCAAGTAAGTAAGTAATTAACTAACTAATTACTTTAGTAGAAAAAATTTCTTTTAAGACACAGGTTGCTAAATAGACCTCACTAAAATGCCTTGGCTGACCTGGAACTCAGGATCTCCTTCCTCAGCCTCCTGAATGCAGAGGTTAGAGTTGTGCATCACAACAGCAGGTGAAAGTAATAAATTTATATGGCATTTACACTCACCATACAAATAGGGAAAACTAATTCACTGGACTATTTAAAAGAAAGAACAATATATTAAAGTCTTAAGTAATATATTGCCAACCATATTTCTGAATATATTCAATAATTTAATCTAAAATAAAAATTCTTTAACAAATATGTCTGGTTATTTTTTTAAAAATATGTACAGCATAGAGAGAGATAGTGCAACTATTAGATAGTAGTTTTCTTGGAGGTTGCCTATGTCATTATTATTATTATTATCATCATTATTATTGACAGGATTTCACTATGAGAGCTTGGCTAGTATGTAGATCAGGTTGGCCTAGAAATTGCAAAGATATGCTTCTTGGCTTCTTGCCTATTCCTTCCAAGTGCTGGGATTAAGGGCAGACGTCACCACACCCAATGCCTGTATTGTTCTTATGGGACAGTTTATAGGTAACAAGTGTCAGCAAGGAATGAGTTTCCTTGTGTCAGCACCTAAAATCGCCCTGTTGGGAAGGGCACGAATCCACTGACCAGTCTGACACAACCACTCTGCGATTCTGGAACTAAACAGCTAACATTATGTTTTTTTTTTTTTTGTGATTTTACAAGCACACATTCTTTTTATTTACGTGTTTCTTTCTAAAAATGTACCAAACCTATGTCTTCAAACACGGTGGTTTACTAGTTTAGAAAGATGAGGTTTGCCTTGAGAAAATTTGAATTGCTCTTTCCTAATTGCATGAGAAACATAAAGGATAGCAGTTTCCCCACTCTCTCTTAAGGAACAGATCGACTTCAACAAAGTTCAGTGATTGAAATATTCATGGACGTTCAGTTTTCTTTTGTTATTCCAAATGTTTGCACATAATTGAAAATTTTGTATTTACTGGATTGACAAATACTTGCTGAATTTAAGAGAGCTATCCAGATTTGTCTGCTTTTGAGGCACTAGCAGCAGCTGGGGAGAGCATTAAAAATACTACTCATAAGCCAGCATCCACAACTACAGCAATAGCTTCACTTTCGAGAGCCTTAAGATATGCAATAGCAGTGCCTTCAAAAAGCTTGTAAAGTAAGGGATCCTTAAAGGGACTCTGGAAAAATTACCCATGTTCCAGGGGACTCCTGCGAGCAGTTTTACTGTATTGAATACAAACATTAGGTTTTACAAAGTGACCTCTGCAGCAGCTCAAAACAGTTGGTATTTATTTCCTCACTACCACACACAGTATTAGCAAACATAACACAACTATTGTTGACTGAAAACAAACGCTTGCATCTTTAGAAAAAATAGAAACTAGGAATCTGTATTTTGAAGAGACAACTTAATTATTCATTTGGAGCTTATTTTTAAAATATTTTAAAAAGAAAATTCAGAACTTCAAAATTCACAGAGAAAATCCAGTCCTTTAAAGTAAAGGATCTGTGTAGGCCTTGTGTCCCTCACCACCACCATCTTCAGAGAAAGTGGATTCCGTAAGGAGAGGAATCACAGTCCATTATATCGGTTTTATTTTTGAACTTGTGATTTATCCCAAGTATATCTTAGTTTTATTTTAGTCAAATTTCTCAAGTGAATTGGTTCCTGAGTTCTTCTTAAGGCCAACTATGAAACATTATTTGTGAAAAGCTAGTAGTCCCACTGTTTGAAAATGAAAAACAAGCAATAAACCGATGTAGGATCACTTACTATGGAAGGATATTTAAATTACGGCAGCAGATGTTTTTAATAACAATTTTAAAATATAGACTATATTACAGGCTTATATTTTATAATATGAACGTATAGTAACTGAGATGACTACAGTTTGGGGGAACAGATATCCGAAAAATTTACAGATGATAGTTTTATCTCAGTGAGATTTATATGCACTACATACATATGTGAGTAATAGTCATGTTTATAAAGAAAGAAAGCTAACAAAATATATTCCTGAAGATAAGGCTTGAAATACTCCCAAAGTCCAAAGCTCAAATTGCTTTATGTATCTAAGTTAGTCTTTAAAGCCCTCTTTAAGGTCCTACCAGACCAATGTAAACAAAACAAGAAACTAACTTGACCTTTTAGACCATAATAGCAAGGATGGAAAATGGGATAATCGGTGAAAAGAATATTGAGGGAGAAAAGCACTGGGTGATATAGAGAGGCAAAGTGTGACAAAAGAGAATGAGAGAAAAATATTAAGATAAACATAGGACTAGTTACTGACAAAGAGAAAACCTAAAGTCATTTTTGGAGCACTGATTCCTTAGACACATTTCTTTGTTTTGTCAGTTTAGCTAGAACTTCATGTTGTCCCAATTTATATTAAAGTAGAACAAACAGTTTGTATGTGAACTTTAATTTAAGCAATACCTTTCATGAAAAGAAAACCACTACTATGATTTGCTCTGAACTCATTGTGTGTTTTTAATTGAGTGCAGTATTATAACATTTTCTAATTACAACATTCCTTACCAAAGATTATTGAGCCTATCTGTAAGCCCCGGGAAAAGAAGAAATTCATGAGCGTTTTATACTACCTTAACTTTCTTAGCTAGTTCCATTGCTCCAAGGAGACAAAAGCAATCATTTCTTGAACCTCATTGCTTCTACATGATCCTGTTTCTTTGCTGGAACAGTGTGTTCTTGTTAAAAGGTTCTCAACTGTTCTTCAATTATCTGAGAAAATCTACAGTCCAAACCAAATATTTACCTTATGCCTACAAAAAATAAGCCACAAAGAAAACCAACAAAACCCCATAACCCAAACCCCACATACCTCAAAGTCAGTTCATGTAGGGCCTTACCTAGAAGAAGAAAGTGTATTTTGCAAAGAAAGATCCCAACCGTGCTGCTGAGGGGCTCCATGAAAGCATCCTGTCCCATGCATACGGCGCCCTGTGCTTAGTGGCAAGTTGGTTCATGGACCAGCAGCTGCTGGTTTATTTGCTAGGGAAATTAGCAGTGAGGTAACAGACCCTATCCTGCCTCTCGCTTCTGTGATTTGAATACAGAATGAATGTGTATACAAAGAACACAGGGAGTAGGAACACCTGTTATATGCTTTGCAAGAACACAGGGCTGTGGCTTTCGGAATAGTTTCTTATTAGGGATTCTCAGTAATTTTTCAGTATAACTTTATAAATTATACTGAGCTATTCATAATCAGAAGGAGGAGGACAATCTCTTTGGGTGATCTCATGATAAATAAACCCAAATCTGATTTTCTATCATGAAAAATTATGTCATTGTTTTGAAATTTGAAAAATTACTTTTTACTGAAAATTGAAGTACTCCATGAATTTTCTATGTAGCTATTCATCTTTATGAAGTTACTAATTATCATGTAAAGTATGTACCAAAGAACCAAAGCAGATCACTAAAGTATATTTTAAATTTATTTTTTTCTTTGTTACATTTTCTATTAAATATGGCTGTGATAATTTTACTGAATCTATGGATTTACATATTTAAAAATAAATCACAGGCATATTTCTAAGTGGGGATGAGGCATGCACTGTGTATAATTATAATGTACAGAATACGCCTGCGGCTACATTTTCTCATTGAATCTTAGAAGCAACAAATCAGTAATCCACAAACATCTTACCTGTGTTCTGCCTTCATCTGAATCTTAGTTCCTTTCATTGCCGTAGAATTAGATGGCCTGAGAATTTCTGCTTAATTTGGTAAGTTACAAGTGAGCTACCATTTGTATAAAGGCTCTGGTCCAAGCTTTCTGCATGAATATATATATATATATATATATATATATATATGTGTGTGTGTGTGTGTATGTATATATATATATGCCTTAAAGCAAGTACAATTTGCAGTACAAACCATTTTTACCAGTGAAGTTCCGCTGAATTCAATGACAAGAGGAGGTAGGAAGGCATAGGCTTTCATTTTAACTGCTTAAACGAAGGCTGTTGTCCAAGTGTTGTTAAAGATAAAAAGGGGCAGTGTCCATTCTGGAAACCAGCTTTGGAAATACTCTTTGCATAAAGTCTACCAACTTGCTTAGAAAGTGTCTAAAGTCAAAGGAACTCCTGTTGCCTTAGAAATATGTCAAGCACGTCCTCAAACCCCAAGCAATGACTATAAGTTTCTCTGCACTCTAAATCTTGCACACATCGATCGCAGTGTTAACCATATTCACTTCAGTTCATTTGCTTAGACATATACTTCTTAGGTCCTTGGCTACGGCGAACTGTCTAGGTCATTGACAGTTGGTACCTAAGCAATGTGCTCATTTTTCTTAACGTATTTCCACAGAAATAAACTCTGTGTGCTCTTTAGCCTAGCTTCCTTATATTTAGTTGCTCCTTAAGAGATGCACACACATTTTCATATTAGCTGATGCAACAACCAATTGGAAAGAAACAGGACTTGAAACATTATCACACGAACTCTCTTACTCTAGTTAGATCAGTCTCAACAAAGATCCTCCTATTAAATAAGATCTTTATAGTGTCCTCAAACCAAAGGATGACTTATTATGAGAGCTCAAAGATCCTTCCCAAAATGTGAGAAACAAAGACTGTACAGTGGGTTTTCCTAGGGTCAAATGTATAGCATTTAAAGAATTTATAAAATTCCAGTATTTTCCTCAGTTTATGTTAATATATATATTTTTTGTGGTCAGAATAAAATAGTAGGTGTTATAATAAGAATCAAAATACCAGAATGAACCATTCTTGTGCTTTTTCCTGTCATAGACATTTAAAAAATTGCAGTACTTGTTTGATTTAGACAAGTGCCCTCTAGTGGAAGATTCATAAATATAACTGCTTGCAAGAGTAAATTGTGAATTCAGGAAATTTATGTTGAAATCACACAAGCAAATTTAACTTCAAGAGGTGCCAAACTGACAGAATTCTTAAAAAAAAAATAGCTCCAAAGAGTTTTGTTAGTGTAAGAAAATTCTCCCAGACACACAGCACCACTTGGAGGCAGAGGCAGGTAGATCTCTGTGAGTTTGAGGCCAGCAGAGGCTATATAGTGAGACCTTGCCTGGGGCTGGGGGCAGGGGTGGGATGGAATTGTCTCACCAAAGTATTTTATAGCAAGTTGATAATGTACTAACTGTTTTGGTCTAAAAAAAGGGGGGGATATCCTTACTGTTTATTGGTCTTAGTTATAGTTGCGTTAAAAGTGATTAACCTAAAACAATCTCTGTCCATGATTGCATTTCTAGGAATACAAGAAGTCACTGGGAGTGTGTGTGTGTGTGTGTGTGTGTGTGTGTGTGTGTGTGTGCACGCACGCCTGTGAGAGGGGGCGGGGAGATTAGGGTAAGCTGCTTTCTAGCCTTTCCAGTCACACATAGTTTACAGACTGTTCCATTTAAATTATTAGGCTGGCTTTGTTTTACACAATGAACATCTAATTTTTCCTTCCTTCTTTCTTTTTTCCAAGACAGAGGTTCTCTGTAGGTCCCCCTCCCCAAGACAGGGTTTTACTGTAGCTTTGGAGCCTGTCCTAGAACTTGCTCTGTAGACCAGGCTAGCCTCAACTCACAGAGATCCACCTGCCTCTGCCTCCTGAGTGCTGGGATTAAAGGCGTTCACCACCACCGCCCAGTCAACTAATTCTTTAATATAGATGTCTTCAAGGAATTATTTACAATAGCAAAAACAGCAGAGGAGAATTGGCAACATATTCAAGATGACACAAATGGTTGTATATAGGATGAACTGGGGGAGGAAAACATTTTCTATTTTAATTTACATGAATTATTTGATTCTGAGGAGCTGTACAGTCTGCAGGAAGAGGAGGTTAAACTGCATATGCAGATTTGTGTGTTAGTGGCCAAGCCTCTGCACAGTCAGGTTGACGACTGCTGCCTTCCAGAGGACCTAGGCTGTATTTTCCTAATAAACGTTAAACTTATGTAGTTAAAAGGCACTGGTGTCATGTTGAGGACGGCCTTGACAAAAATACTTCTTACCAGGGTAGAGGTGTGGGAATTGAAGAAATAAAAATAAGGAATATGAAGATGCATAGAAATAATAAGAAAATATAGACAGTATCAGGAGAGCATTTCAGGGTTTTCGCAGACACTGAAATCACCAGTGTTTATTTTTCCACAGCTTTTATACCCAAAGTAAACTGGGAGAGAAGGTAACAAAAGACTTTATTAACATGATACAAAAGGATAACTCACACAGTCAACCCAGAGACATCCAATCATTAGCATTCTGTTGTCTCTGTAGCCAGGTGCCCCAAGTCAAGTACTCTAGGTCACAGACACTGAAGACAGCCCTTCCCTAGGTGACCTCATAGTTAGAAAAGAAAGGAGAAGTACATTTGCATATACTGACCACCTGTCAGGATGGCATCGGGCTATCTTAAGTTCGAGGCCAGCCTGGTCTACAAGAGCTAGTTCCAGGACAGGTTCCTAAGCTACAGAGAAACCCTGTCTCAAAAAACAAACCAGACCAAACCAAAACAAAATAAAACAAATCAAAAAAAGAACCAAGCAATCACCTCCTGAGTTAGGACATGCAACTATGCTTGTCAGTCTCCAAACTCTCTGACCCTCAAGGGAAGGTGGAAATGGGCCTGCATTTTTCGGCCTCCACAGTGTCATGGTTTAGGAATCACTCAACACAATACACAAAACCTTTAAGCATAATTAGTTTACACATCAGCGATAGTGTTAGTTAGGAAAGTTCCTTAATTTCTTCACACCCGATTCATCATTTTTAACACAGAGATAATAGTAACTTCATATGGTGCTCACCTATATAGTCTTGGATGTGTGCTTCTTTCTTTCTTACTTTTATTTATTTCGCATGTTTGTTTTCTAGAGAAAGAAAGAAGAAAAAACGTGGAATTGGTGGGTCCGATCTAGGATGAATTGGGGGTGGGGAAATCTGACCAGAAAACATTGTATGAAAAAGAATTTGTAATTTAAAAAAGGAGAAAAAGATTCTCATGCAGCTGCCTGAGGTCATACACGTAAAGTGTCCCTTCCAATTAGTAAACTTTCGGTGTTACCTATTGTTGTTATTATTATTATTAGCCCTGAGTTTGCTGCCCCCCATATTTGTTGAGTCTCCAAAGCTCCTTTGTAACCACTAATGACGAGAGATGACTTTAAGGAGACACATGCTCCCACAACTTCTGACATCTGTCACGACCTGCCTTTGCTTAAGCAGGTAGAAAAATGATAGCTGGGGATTAGAAGAAATCCTTTGATTTTTATTAGAGCTCGTTTTAGGCAATGGCAAGAAAGAAGACCGCACGGCTGGCCATCAGCCTCTTGGGGTACCTGCCTCCCACTTTCCTCAGGCCGTACCCAGAGGCCCAAGCGCCCCTCCCGCCCCAGCCCAGCGCTTCCTCTCCCGCTCCTCAGTCGGGACTTTCTCAGAGTTTCTTTAGCCAGAACACCTAGGTCTCAGGTATTAGCCTCGCCTAAGCCGTTTCCGGTACAGGTGGCCATCGGACCAACAAGATTTGCCTTCGTTGAAGCATTGCTTCTTGGGCAATGTAGTACTCAGGCTGCCCTCCTTCTTCGACTGCAGCCGGAAGACTACACTTCCCAGCATGCCCAGCAAAAGGAAGGCGGACCCAGGCGGTCAGCTCCACGTGACTACTCACTATGGCTTCACTGTGTTGTGGCCGGCTTTCTGGTGGCCTTGTGTGATTTGGTACTTGTCTGTGGCAGGGTAATCGTCTCCCGACCTCGACATGCAAAAAATCAAATCTCTAATGACCCGGCAGGTGAGTCCTGTAGTTTGACGCGAAGAGTTCCGTCTTCTCGGCTGAGGAGCGAAGCGCTCAGTCCCCGGCAGCGGTGGGCGGAGGCTTAAGTTATAGGAGTTGGCGGGTCTCAGGGGCGCCGGGCACCTAAATAGAACCCTGGAAGACTCACTTGA